GCCTGCCCAAACCAAACCCTCAGTCGATGTAGCAGTACTCCTTTGCGAGTCAGGCTATTTTTCAGTCAGGCTAAGGTAGTCGATGTAGCAACACTCACGCATGATTTACAGTAAAAAAACTTAAAAATAAAAACGATTTATTTAAAAAATAAAAATAAAAACATTGTTTATATTTTTAAAAAACATTCTTAACGTTTTAAATAACATTCTGGTCAATTAAATTTGCGTTTTTGCGGTTTTTTAAAAAAATAATTAAGCTAATGGTTTCAACTTTATGACAACACGAAAATGTTGGATGAATGTCAAAAGTAATTAAAAGTGACGTAATTTGTTGTCAAAAGAATCATTTTTGACCTTCCGTACTCTCAAAGCCAACAATTTATAGAACTATATATGTATATATATATATATATATATATATATATATATATATATATATATATATATATATATATATATATATATTTATATATAAATATATATATATATATATATATATATATATATATATATATATATATATATATATATATATATATATATATATATATATATATATATATATATATATATATATATATATATATATATATATATATATATAAAGCTATATCTGTAAAAAAAATTTAAAAAGCCATATAAACTTTAATTTTTAAAATAAAGTTGGGCTATTTCTTTATTATAATAAAGTTTATTTTTCATTTAAAAAACCTAAATAATTTTTTTTTCTTGATTAAAAACGCATTAACGCGTGTCATGAAATTTCTGTCTAGAAGTTTTAATTAACATACTTTAGTATACCGCATTACGCAATACCAATTATGCAACAAATGATTTTTGGCAATATTTTACTAACGACTTAATTTGTCATTTTCAAATTTACTCTACATAACCGATTTTATCGATATTTCTTTCTTCGCTCTGTCACTCCACTATTCATATTGTTTTAAAAATATCAATATCAAATATCAAAAATGGCATGTAAAAGATCTTCAGATGGCTCTTCGGAATGCAACAGCTTTTTTCAAAGCTCTAAACGGATGGGCCAAGTTGCAACGGTAATTACATTTCATTTATTTGATCTATATATAGGACTCTAATAATTAAACTCCCATTTTCCTCTTTTATTTTAATTTTTATTATGTTACCGTAAGGTTACTTTGAACGTTTTTGAGATATTTTTACTTGCTTTTTCCTCACTATTGACAATATTTAAAATTTAACAAAATGAATATAGGGGCTAAGGTTGACTCATACATAATTCAAATTCAAAATATTACTTAAATAATATTAATTTAAACAGTTTGACATTAATTTAAACAGTCATTTAAAGTTCTTTTAAAATCATTGTTATAAGATATTTATGTTTTATAAAATGAGTTTTTAAAATCATTTTATTATTTTTAAAAACCCTTTTTTGCGTTACCATTAAATAAAATGTTTTAAAAAAGTTGTCACAGAAATATTATGTCAAATGTTGGTTGTTTCCTAATTATTGAAATTCCGTTTACTATAAATTTTTTTTGGTATTATATTCTTAGTTTTGAATAATAACGGTCTTGTTTAAACGCATCAACGTTTTTGTTTTTGTAAAAAAGCAAAAACGTTGATGCGATTCTTAAAAACGTTCAATTGCTGAAAACTCAAAAATCAAAAAATAAAAAGATTTAATTTTGTAGTTTAAAAGTTAAATAAATTTTTAACTCATAATAATAAAACGATAATTTTGTTTTTTTTTAACTGTTGATTTTTAGTTCAAACTAATGAAGTTTGTTTTGTTTTCAGTTTACATTTTTTCTAAAAATGTTAAAGTGCCTAATACAGTAGCGTTTAAGCTAGCTAGAAGATTACAAAAAGTGTATAGCTATTTGATTGTTACATATCACAGCTTTTTTTTAGCTATCTATATTTTAGCACGGAATGTCGATTGTTTTTTTATACAGTTGTAGTTTCGGCCCACTGTTCAGGACTTGTGGAAATAAGATGTTGGTAAGGGTAGATTTGCGTGGTCAGTTAACTATAAATAATAAAATTTATATAAGAGGTAATAATTACTATACCAAACATTTTAACTTTATATATATGTCTTTATATATATATATATATATATATATATATATATATATATATATATATATATATATATATATATATATATATATATATATATATATATATATATATATATATATATATATATATATATATATATATATATATATATATATATATATATATATATATATATATATATATATATATATATATATATATATATATATATATATATATATATATGTATATATATATATATATATATACATATATATATATATATATATATATATATATATATATATATATATATATATATATATATATATATATATATATCAGGCGCGGATATAGAGGGGGGCACAGCCGGCTCGTGCCCCCCCCCCCAAATATGATATAATGTATATGTATAATTATGTCGATCCATATCTCAGGTCAGATATATCACTCTATATAAAGACAGACATATCACTCTATATAAACTAACAGCGTATATCACTAGTATAGATAAAGGGTACTGGAAACTGTCCATATAGGGTAGACATATCATTAAAAATCATAGGCGGCTGATTATAGACCCCAGATAGGGGAGGGGGATACCCCTCCCCTATAAACCCCATCCCATTTGTGCCCCCCCTATCTATATACATACCTGTAATCCGCCCCTGTATATATATATAAATATAAATATATAGTATCATACAGCTCATATATAGATACAGCTCGTAGATAAAGGTATATGAAACATGCTAGAGTATCTTTAATTGAAGATGCTAACATGAAAGCAGTTGAAAATGAAATTTTCGATGGTTATGAATTTAATGCAATTTATAATCATGATGGTTCGTTAGAATTTAGCAATGAGATTAGTTCAGATGAGTCATCTGATAAGGGCGATGATTATGAATGTAATGCAAGTTGTAATAATGATATTTCATTTGAGTTTGACGATGTTAATAGTTCAGATGAGTCATCTGATAAGGAGGATGACATAGGCATGACATCAAAATGCTTTGACATAAATCAAAAGCTTTAAAATTTTTATTTAAGATATAATCTGACTAGAAATGCTATGGAAGCTCTTTTAAAGTTATTAAACATACATTATGATAAAAGTTTACCACTATCTGTTATTACACTAAAAGCTAAGTCAGGAACCTACAACCAGTCTAAAAATTGGGTTAAAAGAATTGAAGGAAAAAGTTCAATGTCATATATTGGCGTAAAAGACAATTCATTGTATTGTATGGACCATCGTAATTTAGATTTAAATTTAAAAAATAAAGATGGCAACAGTGGCATAGTAAAGTTACGGCTATTTTTTAATCTAGATGGTTTGCCTGTTTTTAAATCTTATAAAATTACTTTTTGGCCAATTCTAATGTCATTTAGAGATTACAATCATATTGGTGTACTTCCTGTTGCTTTGAACTGCGGTGTTGAAAAGCCAAATTTGAACGTTTATCTTAAACAGCTGGTTGATGAGTTCCAAACTTTGAGTGTTCCTTTTGATTTGAAAGGACTACAAACGGTTATTTCTGATGTTGACTTTATTTGCGATACACCTGCACGTTCATTTGCTCTTAATATTTTCAATCACAATGCATACTACGGATGTGGCTACTGTAATATCAAAGGTGAGTATTGTTACAATCGTATTATTTTTACAGATCAGCATTGTACACCCCGTTCTGATGAAAGTTACAAAAATATATCAGAAAATAATCAGCATGGCCCTTCACCTCTTTTGGATATTCCTCAATTAAGTGGACTGCAATCGTCATGTCCTCCAGAACATATGCATCTGGTACTCCAAGGTGTGGTGAAAAAGTTATGTACATATTATTTTACTAAAGTGCCTTTCCTAAATTTATCTTGTAGACTTTCAGAACATTTACTCATAAAATTATCCGCTGAAATTGATGATATAAGAAAGTATTTACCATCAGAATTCCACAGAAAACTTAGTTCTTTGGTTAATTTTAAAAACTGGAAAGCCTCTGAATTTCGACAGTTTGTTTTATATCTTGGACCATTTCTCTTACATGATAAATTGCCAAATCGGTATTTTGACCATTTTATTACATTGCACTTCAGCTTGTATGTTTTGGCTTCTGATGAATTTTTTGCTTATCATGGTATCGCATCTGAATGTGTTAAAAAGTTTGTTGAGTTTATGCCTATATTATTTAGCAAGAGATCTATGGTTTATAATGTGCATGTGTTACTTCATCTAGCTTCATTTGTAGCAAAATATGGACTTTTGGACTCATTTTCTGCATTTCAATTTGAAAATATGTTGGGTTTATTGAAAAGACGAATTAAAACAGGTAGAAATATTTTTCAACATGCAGTTGTTTGCTTAAATGATCTTCGATCAGTAACTACTAATCATTTGAACTCTGTAAAGATTTCTAATGATTCGCCAGATTGTGCTTTTGTTATTGCTGATGGTTCCATTGTTTTATGCACAAGTACAAGTCTCCATAGTTTACATATATCTGGAATTATTTTATCTTATGTGAAGCCACTGTATACATTTCCATACTCATCAAAAGTCCTTAGAATTGGATATTATCAGAAAAGTCGCACACATGTTTATAATGTTACACCCGTTTGAAAATGTATTATGATTTTTTGTAGGGAAAACTACTTTTTAATTATCCCATTGGTCTGTAAATTAAACTAATGTTTAAAAATATTTACAGGACTTGATTAGTTTTTTTATATTTTGTAAACATTTTTGTGTTGATTTAAAGTCTTTATACTATTTTAACTTCAATATCTGCATATTTTCTAAATAATAAATGTATAAATTTTATGTTGCATTATACAAATATTTTGTTTCAGATGAATGTTTCAAATGAATGTTCAGATGAATTTTGTTTCAGATGAATTATATTGTTTATCTGTACTGTGACAGTGAAGTTCTAGAATTAAAAAATTGTGACATAATAATACAGAGAAGCTAAAAAATTGGTCTATGGATGATTGGAGATCTCGTGGTCAAACATTAACGGAGGACGATCTTCAAATAAAGGCAATACATAAGGATTGTGTAAATGCGGCATGCATATTACAGATAAGTATTTTATACACCTGTTGGAATTGAAAAATAAGGAGTGTTTCAGTAGTAACATTTTTTTAAAGTAAATTAATCTACAAAATTGTATTTTATTTTATTTTATACGTTTCAGTTGGAATTGATACAAAATCGCTTGTTCAAAAAATGCAAAACTTTGTATTGAAAAAAAAATTTACCCCTAAAAATGGACTCCTCAAACTTATTATTCGTGTGGGTCAAAACAAAAGGCAGAACATTCCACCTTTAAATGTGAGTATTTTTAAACTAACTCAATAAATTATTTTTATTGTAATCAATGCACAAAGCATTGCATAAAATGTGTTGAGTATTTAACTTAGGTAAAGTTGAGTTGATTATGAGCTGTATTTATTATGATTTCTTTTGTCCTTTTTTAGTAACAGATTTTTGTATATGTCAAAGATTAACCTTTTTTGGATATTTCCAGAATTCTGGAAATTTTTTGTAATTTTTTTTTTGCTGACATATTCTATACTTAAAAGTTTAAATACATCTATTTGTTTTATAAGCTTTTTCACTAATCACTCATAAAAAAATAAAGAAAAGTTTGAAAAAAAAAAAATAGAAAAAACTCAGCTATAAGCAAAAATAAGAGGAAAATAAGAGAAAATATTTTCCGGGTATTTTACCCAAACAAATTTCCGTTTTTTTAAAATATTGCCTGGACGATCTATGATATGTATATTGTATAAAGCTATGATTGTATATATATTAAAAAAGTTATTTTCTTTAGCATATTCTTACTGCAGAATCAGAAGTAGAAATTGATTTTAATACATCAAAAAAAACACAAGAAAACTCCTTTAAGTCAACAAAACAGAAAGAGAAAAAAAAATTTATCTTTGAAGAACCTCCTTTACCATCATTACCATTGTGGGAGCCACCAAACCTTCCTGATTCCGATTCAGTATACATTTTAAAATTTTGTCCCATTCGTAAGAATAATATTTTTTTTTGTTTCATTTTTATGGTTTATTTGCTTTTTTTAGATATCATTTTTTAATTAAAAAAAAAAAGTATAATATAATCAGAATATTGTGAATGTATTTAAAATCATTGTTAATCTTGTTTAGAACTTTTTGTCCGTCTCTGCTTCAATGGATCAAGTAGATGACTTGCCAGTTACACAGATAGTGTTTCCATCAGAAATGCAGTCTGTTTCACAAGTTCAACCGTTACTGCATTCCTCTTCTTCCTTTTCTTTACCATCTCAAAAAACTGGGATAGACCAAATAAATAACTTTATTCGGAAAGCAAATGTTGAACCCAATACTGTTGAAGGCATTCAATTTATAGTGAACTCCATGTACAGAAAACTTTGTGGGTTGGAAACAGAAATGCGTTCCATGCGTTCAATTTTAGACACTAATCATGGTAATAAAGAAAATATTAATATAGATTATTTACCAGCTAATTCAGTTGAAGAGTTTGACTCACTAGAAAATAAAATAATTAAATCTAATGATAAAGATATCATTTGCATAAAGTTAAAGCAAATTGGTGGGAGAAATGTAAGTGACTTTTTAAAAAATGCTTTAAAAACTTGTTTAACAGACAAGCTGTGCTGCAGCATTAATCAAACTGGTGCAGATAAAAAGCGTAAGTTTATAGGACCAGTCGAAAGTTTGATTTTCGATGCAGCTTACTGTTTATTTCCAACTGCCACTGAATCCAGTATGACTACAATAATTGCGAAACACTTGAAAAAGTCTAAAGATCGTTATTTTGCTGCAAGAAAGAGAAGTTCTTCTTTAACAAGTGATATAAAAATACACAGTCCTGTTAGAAAAAAAAGAAATTTAAACACTGACTCATGTAGTGATTCCAGTTAACTTATTTTTTTTTGTTTATTTGTTCTATTATTTTTTATTGACTTCTCTTTTTTTAGATATTTTATTTGTTACAACTTTTTTAGCAATTATTTTCGAAAATTGATAAAAATTTAAAAAAAAACTAAAATTTGACAGAAATTTTATTCTATTATCTTTTTAAATAACTTTTGAAATTATTAATTTAATTTAGGCAAAATCATTTAGTTGTTAATGACTTTTTATTTTTCAAAAGTAATCTATAAGCGATCCTCGTGGCCAAATCGCTGCCTTTATCGTAACGACTTAGTGCTAGCTATTCGCTAGCTTATTTAGCTAGCGATCCTCGTGGCCTTATCGCTGTCTTTATCGTAACGAATATCGCTAGCTTGTTTAGCTAGCGGATCGCTAGCTTATAAAGCTAACGATCCTCGTGGCCAAATCGCTGTCTTAATCGTAACAAATACCGCTAGCTATTCGCTAGCTTGTTTAGCTAGCGGATCGCTAGCCTATAAAGCTTACGATCCTCGTGGCCAAATCGCTGTCTTAATCGTAACGAATATCGCTAGCTATTCGCTAGCTTGTTTAGCTAGCGGATCGCTAGCTTATAAAGCTAACGATCCTCGTGGTCAAATCGCTGTGTTAATCGTAACGAATATCGCTACCTATTCGCTAGCTTGTTTAGCTAGCGGATCGCTAGCTTATAAAGCTAACGATCCTCGTGGCCAAATTGCTGTCTTAATCGTAACGAATATCGCTAGCTATTCGCTAGTTTGTTTAGCTAGTGGATCGCTAGCTTATAAAGCTAACGATCCTCGTGGCCAAATCGCTGTCTTAATTGTAACGAATATCGCTAGCTATTCGCTAGCCGATTTCCCACCGGGTGTATTTTCATGAATTTATTTCGTATAAATTATTGTGTGTGTTGTGCAGGTTTTCATAAATTCTGCATTAAATTTTGAATTTTAACCAACATTCTTGATCTAAAATATTGCAATGCATATACGTATATATGCATATAAAGCAAATGCATATAATAATAACTTGTTGTACAAATGTGGTTTATGATTTTTGTTTCATTTTTTAGGTTGTTAACATAAAAAAGTTATGTGATGCAATTCCCATAGTAGTTTTTAGTAATATAAAACATCAAGAACATTCAATTCACGTAGAGGCAATTAATATACAACAAAAATTCAATATTTTATTTAACAACTATTCCAAGTGTCACAATGAAATGAACTCATGTTATTTATTCAGCGAGGAAAATATCAAGAGTTTTGGTAAGTTTATTAATAAATATTGGCAAAGACAAATTTTTCCACCGTTTATTTAACACGTTGACCGCCTTGCCTTTTTTTGAAAAAATCACATTGCCAAATAATCTTTTTTTTTTTGAATATTTCGTGTATACATATGTATACACAAATAAGTCAAAGAGGAGTTTTTTTTTTTTAATAATTTTTAGTTTTTGTTTGAACATTCGAACAATAATTTTCTCAAAACCTAAACTATTTAACTTTTAAATATTTAAAAATATATTTTTCCAAAATGTTCCAGAACCTTCCAGCACGCCGATAAACGGGTATATAAACCTAGCGTTTTCTGCTAAACACCAGTTCAGCAATTGTATGGACTTTAAATATTGTTGAATAAATAATTGTGATCGACTGAAAGAAAACTTGACTGTCGAAACTTAACAGTTTTCAACTTTTTTCCTCAAATACTTGATTGATATTACTAATTTTTTGATACAATCGTAAATTTTTATTATTTTCTAGCTATTAATTTTTCTTATTTATTAGAATGGCTGATGATAATATTGAATTAAACGATAGCTTTGAAAGGTTGCTGTTACAAAGTGATGACGAACATGATTCTGATTTAATGGAAACAATTCAACAGGACGAATCTGATGAATCCGATAGTGCTGATAGTGAATCAACTGATGGTGGTAGTGATGATGGTTCAGAAGAATGGTCGAAAAATGTGCAGAAACCTTTAAGATGGGATTTTGATGACGGAACTGCGGGCATGAATATGGATATGGTAATGGATTGCAAAGAACCTGTCGATTACTATAACTTATTTATGAACAACGAACTTATCGATTTTATTGTGGAAGAAACTAATCGTTATGGACCAACAAAGGATTCAAACTATTTGCCGACAAATAATATGGAAATGCGAAAATTTATGGCTATCATTTTGCAAATGGGATATGTTGTTCTGCCTAAACTCGATGATTATTGGTCCTCTGACCCTGCTATTGGCGGTAAAGCAATATGTGGAGGTGTAATGACAAGGAAAAGATTTTATTCTTTGATGAGATCCCTCCACTTCGCTGACAATGACAACAATAATGGATCAAAATTATATAAAATAGAAAAATTTGTCAACTTGTTCATTGCCAGATGTCAACACTTACTGGTTCCAGGCAGAGATATATGCATTGACGAAAGCATGATACCCTTTCGCGGCAGACTTCGATTTCGTATGTATATTCCTAGTAAAAGGCATAAATATGGCATCAAAATCTTTAAATTGTGTAGCAACAACGGATACACTTATAATTTATCAATTTATGCCGGTAAAGAGGACCAGCCAAGATATGGTTCTGTGGCAGAACGTGTAGTTTTAAAACTAATGGAAAACCTTCTTGGACATGGCAGAATTCTGTATACAGATTACTGGTATACAAGTATGAATTTGGCGAAATCTTTATTGGAAAACAAGACAAACTTAGTTGGGACGGCCAGAAAAAATAGAATTGGATTTCCAAAACACGTAACTTCTCTGAAATTGAAGAAAGGTGATTATGTTGCAGAACAAAATGGTGATGGTATTATGATTTTAAAATGGAAAGATAAAAGAGAAGTTATAATGCTTTCATCTATTCACGATGGTAGCATTACGGAGAGAGGAAAACCTGCTGTTATCGTAGATTACAATAAAGGGAAATCGTTTAACGATCTATCTGACCAATTGGGCTCTTATTGTCCATACGTACGTAAAACAATGAAATGGTACCTCAGAATCTTTTTTCATATAATTACTCAAGTTTCCATTGTTAATGCTCTGCATCTTTATAAATTACATAGCGGAAAAAATATCAAAATTGTACAATTCAAAAGAGATATTGTCTCATCAATTTTGCAACTGGAAAAGCCAACATCTTCTGGACGAAAACATCAACTTGAAAAAGAACCAGGAGAAGGAACTATTCGAAAACGACGTTGTACTGAATGCTACAACAAATTATCAAAAGAATTTGGTGCCACAATTGCCAGGAATCGTGCTAGTCAAATTAAGACAAGATGTGATAATTGTTTAAAACCTTTTTGTTTAGCTTGTTTTCAAAAATGTCATACTAAATGTTGATTTTATTGATTATGTTGATTTTATTTTTTTGTTATAACGGTTTTTTTTAATTCTAATGTTATTTTCTGTTTTATTTTTTTCAAATAAAGTTATCTTTTACCACAGTGTTTTTTATAATTTGAACGAAGTTTTTTTTCTTAAAACGCTATCTATTTAAACGCCATTAAATTTTAAGAATTGATAAATATAAAGAAACAATTGGAAACAAGTAAAAATTAGAATACTTAAAATTAACAAAAATAAATTTACTATCAAAATCGTGTATCCATATGGATACACGACTTGAAGAAACGAGAGTTTACGCGTGTATACATATGGATACACGATGCGGTCAACGTGTTAAAGTTACTAGTTTTTTTGTAGAAATAGCAGTATGTGAATTAATGAAACATTTTCGAAGCATTTGACCAAAAGAATCAATAACTCCCAAAATGCATATGTTAGAGAACCACATGGGAGTATTTTTGAGCTCATGGGGAATAGGTCTTGGATTATATGGGGAGGAAGGTGGTGAAAGTATTCATGAAGAATTTCATAATATTGGAAAAATACACTCAATCATATCTGGCACGAGAAAATTAGAAAGTATAATAAGGGACCATTTCATAAGAAATAGCATAATGGCAAAGTCATAAAAACCACCAATCGTCCCTCGAAGAAACAAAACTGTATAATATATGTTATATTTTTTGTACAATAAAATGATTTTACGCAATAAATTTATATAGTTTATGTAAAATATTTGTATTTAATATATTTGTATAAAGTTATTTTGAGATGTTGTTGACATAAATCAGCCATGTTGTTTTACGATTAGTAAAAAAATATCGAAATATTATCGAACTTTGTAGCTACGTATCTT